ATTATACATACGCAAAAATTTCAAAAACTGAACTATAAAACACTTCTCTAAACAAGCAGTTTAGAAAAGGGATAACTTAATCTTACTGTTTTTCATTTTAAATTCCTAGGGAATACAATGAAAGTCGTATTCATTAATGGAACAAGATGCAGATTTGTATTTATTTTGTGTGTTTGTGCTGGGGAATCTATCTCAAGTCCTCCCCCTGCATGCTTTCTGAGCTGCATTAAGCCCCCACCCCTATGGCAGGGTCTGTTCAGCCCCAGTTGTTCTTACACTAAGGATGCCCTTGCTTCCAGCTGCGAACCATGTGTACTTTTTTAGCAAGTGGTGTGGAGAAAAGGGGAGCGAATTGTTCTGCGTTAGTGTGATTTCTTTCCTCCAAGTGTTATGAACATGTACAAACAGTGAAGGCATTGTGTAATTAGCACACGTAAGTCACTGTCTCCATCCTGTTAATATTTTGTTTACTTAATTTTTCTGTTGCTTTACCAGATATTCATTTATCCATCATTCTAACCTTCTTATTTTTTGATGCATTTCAAAGTAAGCTTTATTATTTTTTGCTCCTGGACACCTAAGCACTCACATTATTAGCAATCTGATTTGTTGACTCTTTGACTTAAGGCTTAGCGCAAATCCTGATGTAGATATTCTCATGGCAAAGCTAACAGGATGTGCATCTGTGCCTGTTAATGAATACCACTTTATACCTTTGTGATCTGACAAAAGGTGTGTGTGCAAGGTCTCCTTAGCGCATTCCTGGAGTGTTGAGCTCTTTCTTTAGTAAACCAGTGAACTGGCAATCTGTTGTTATCAGCTGGACCAAAAGAAAACCTCAAGAATGCAAGTCTCTGGCAGATTTATTAGTGTAGCTGACACTTTCCCCTGCTTATCAGAAACAAACATATGACACTGCCCGAAAGTAGGAAGCCATAAAATACTTGGAAAAGACTTAAACATTAGGTAATTGAATGAATTGTTTTCACAGTGTTGTTAATATGTAATTCTCAGAATATATTATAGTTCTTCAATACATATGTGAATATATATTATGCTCTTACACTGAAAAAAGGTCTTTGCTAAAGATGCTTTGGAGTAATATTTAACTGAAAGCCTGTTTGTAGGACATTAAAAATCAAGAATTTATAGGTTTATTTACTTAATGACAAATTTACACATTTGTCATTAAATAGCATTTGGAGCATTTCTTTGTTTCCACTTTTAAAATATCAGTGATAGCTCCTTAGGTGGAATATTGAATCCTGATACTCAGGCAGGGTCTTTGACAGGTGTGTGTGTGCAGGACTGTATGTGTGCAGGACTGTGTGTGTGCAGGACTGTGTGTGTGCAGGACTGTGTGTGTGCAGGACTGTGTGTGTGCAGGACTGTGTGTGTGCAGGACTGGTGTGTGCAGGACTGTGTGTGTGCAGGACTGTGTGTGTGCAGGACTGTGTGTGTGCAGGACTGTGTGTGTGCAGGACTGTGTGTGTGCAGGACTGTGTGTGTGCAGGACTGTGTGTGTGCAGGACTGTGTGTGTGCAGGACTGTGTGTGTGCAGGACTGGTGTGCTGCTGACAAGTGTTCTGGGCTCCTGTTGGAGCTGCTCAGCCTTCTCCCCCCACCCCAGTTTACCCTTCATGCCTAACAGTTGCTACTCATGTTGAAATTCAAATTTAAATCTAAATGTTATTCCCTAGTCCATTATAGCATCAGACTTAATTGAATAGAGGCCCCCCCCTCAGAAATTCCTTTTGTCTAGTAAGTACACGTGTAAGGGACATGTGTGTTTGTTTTGTGGTAGTGAGGACCGAACCTAGGACCTCACTTGTGCCAGGCAAGCACAACACCACTGAGGTTTATCTTCAGCCTTTGTTTGTTGGTTTGAGGGGAGTTCATATGTATTTTGGATGGCTCTTTTTTTCACAAAAATAGTTTTTATTTAAATTTTTGTTTTAGACTTACTTATTTTTATTTTATGAGTGTTTTGCATCTATGTAAGTATGTATGTGTGTAGTAGACCACATGTTTGCATGGTGCCTGCAGAGATCAGAAAGGGTGTCAGATTCCTTGGAACTGAAGTTACAGGTGATTGTAAGTCACCATGTGGGTACTGAGAATCGAACCACAGTCCTCTGCAAGAAGAAGTACTCTTGACCACGGAGGCATGCCTCCATTCCTCTGCCTTCTTATCGTAAAGCTTCTCAGATGTCCCTTTCCTCCAGAAAAATCCACTGCTCTAGGAAATTTATTTTTAGCTGAACCCTAATAACCACCTTTGGACTCCGTTGTTTTAAACGGGCGTCCCTGTCTGCATTGCAGGTCCCCCCCCCCCCACCGCCCATAGATGAGTGTGGCATAAACTGCTGTTCTGCCCCCAAACCCGAGGTCTCTGCTTTGCACCGTCTTCCTCACACCGTAAGAGCTTATCCTGGGTTGATCATCCTATTTGTGTTGAATGTTATAACAGCCCACGTCTTCCTGGGAAGGGAGTTCACTTCTCATTTAATCAAGATTGTAGATAGGATAGGATAGGAAAGTTAGCCACACACCAGAGGATTGCTTAAGACACCTACTGAGTGACTGTTACAAGTTCATCTCCAGTGCTGCTGGGATTGGGATGGAGACTGCTTCCTCTGTAGTGTCTGTCATCAGTGAGCGCCGGCCCCAGTGCACTCTTCCTTCCTGCATGCTCCCCTGTGCTCTGCTCTCCTACTTTGAAGAGGACGAGTTAGTGTGGATCCAAGGAGTAAGGACAGCCATGAGCACCCTGAAGGCCGGTCCAGCGTTCACCGGTCATTTTCTGTTGCCTATGCTGGTTTTTTCTTCTGTGCCTTTAAAATGTTTAAAAAGTGGAATGAATAAAAAAGTGATTAGTTTAAACATTTATAAATGATCAAATACCATGTTTTAAAAATATTTAATAATACAATCTATTTGAAATATTAAATAAGTGTAGTAAACAGAGTATGAGCTATGTTTTAAATTTCTATTTTAAGCATGAATCTGTAGCTGTATGTATGAAATGTTCATATGTCTGTGCACACAGAATACATGAATCTGTAGCTGTATGTATGAAATGTTCATATGTGTGTGTGCACACAGGATACATGAATCTGTAGCTGTATGTATGACATGTTCATATGTGTATGCACACAGGATACATGAATCTGTAGCTGTATGTATGAAATGTTCACATGTGTCTGTGCACACAGGATACATGAATCTGTAGCTGTATGTATGAAGTGTTCACATGTGTGTGCACACAGGATACATGAATCTGTAGCTGTATGTATGAAATGTTCACATGTGTGTGCACACAGGATACAGGAATCTGTAGCTGTATGTATGAAATGTTCATATGTCTGTGCACACAGGATACATGAATCTGTAGCTGTATGTATGAAATGTTCATATGTCTGTGCACACAGGATACATGAATCTGTAGCTGTATGTATGAAATGTTCATATGTGTCTGTGCACACAGGATACATGAATCTGTAGCTGTATGTATGAAATGTTCACATGTGTCTGTGCACACAGGATACAGGAATCTGTAGCTGTATGTATGAAGTGTTCACATGTGTGTGCACACAGGATACATGAATCTGTAGCTGTATGTATGAAATGTTCACATGTGTCTGTGTTGTAATTTGAGCGGCGGGGCTGTGTCCCCAGCACCCCAGCCGCCTGCTAGCTTATGCCCCAGAATAATTACACGGACACTGTATTCTTTTAAACACTGCTTGGCCCATTATATCTAGCCTCTTCTTGGCTAACTCTCGCACCTGGACTAGCCCATTTCTAATAATGTGTGTAGCATCCCAAGGTGCGCTTACCAGGAAGATTCTAGCCTATGTCCATCCTGGGTCGGAGCTTCATCACGTCTGCCTCAGAGAACAGAGCTATCGCGTCTGCCCGGGAGAGGGGAGCATGGCGTCTTTGAGCTCATTTCCTCTTCCTCCCAGCATTCTGTTCTGTTTACTCCACCCACCTATGTTCTAACCTACCAGGGCAAGCAGTTTCTTTATTTAATTAACCAATGACCTTCCTCCATCATGTCTGTGCACACAAGGATACATGAATCTGTAGCTGTATGTATAAAATGTTCATGTGTGTGTGTGCACAGGATACATGAATCTGTAGCTGTATGTATGAAGTGTTCATATGTGTCTGTGCACACAGGATACATGAATCTGTAGCTGTATGTATGACATGTTCACATGTGTGTGCACACAAGATACATGAATCTGTAGCTGTATGTATGACATGTTCATATATGTCTGTGTACACAAGGATACATTTTGAAGGCTGCAAGCAAAATATTTAACTTTATTGTTTTTGGAATTTTGAATTATGCATAAATTGTTCATTTCAATTTGTTTTAATTTTGTGCAATGAGAAATATGTAAAACCAAAACAAGTTTAAAAACAAACTTTAGGAGCGAAGAGAGTTGGTTCAGTGGTTAAGAGCACATACAGCCTTGCAGAGGGCCTGAGTTCTGTTCCCAGCACCCCCATGGTAGATCACAACCACCTGTAACTCCAGCTCCAGGGGATCCAACACCCTCTTTTGGACTTGATAGACACTTGTAATTATATTTATGGACTCACAGACATGCACAGATAAATATAAATTGTAAATAATCAGTTTTATTATGTATAAAATGTGGGATGATCAAAAAATCAGATGCAGCTAAAAATATAATAAGAATTTAAGGGAGGGGAGCAGAGAAAAATGTAAAGCTCAATAAAAAAAGAAAAATAATTTAGGAAGAGAATCATTAACTTGGATGTAAGTACAAAGGGCTGGAGCACATTTCATGAGCTCCTTTCTATTGTAGTCCCCAGTAGAGTTAGCAGAAATTAAAGTAAAAATGTAAGTAAAGATGGAGACCTGTGAACAAATCCAGGACATGTTCTGCTTAAAACATTTTAGTTCTTGATGTGAAAATTGTTGCTGATTCTGATTTTGCTTTCTTTCTATTGTCACAAAACAGAAAGAAGAGGGCAAGCTCCAAGGGCAGCTTAGCAGGGCCGATTCCAGCCAGTGCATTCGGGAGCTGAAGGATCAGATAGCAGAGCTGACTCATGAGGTGAGCGATAAGTGTCTTCTTCTTCCTTCCTCTCTTGATGTAACACTTATCACTGACCTTTTCAGCCTGGATGCTGTCTGAATTTATGACATAGTTATGAGCAGCTCAGAAGAGTGCCTTTTTAAGCAAAGATTTTTATGTTCAAATATTAAGGACTTGCCTTAAACTTTAATAACTTAAAATGATCAATTCCTAGCATGTATCTTATTTTCTTAATTGTGATCTGAAAACACTTGGCTGTTACCCATGTCTTCAATATTCTGCAGTTATATTAAAATTTCCGCGCCCCTAACTGACTGGATTTGTGGTGTTGCCGTTGGGTGGAGGAAGGTCTTCTCCCCCTTCATGGTGCTCTTACTGAGATTACAAAAAAGGATACTTGCCTCATATCAGTTCAACAGATTGCTTAGCCTTTTAAACTGGCACCTAGAATCTCTAACATTCAGCCAATGGAAATTTCTCAGAATTTGATTGGCTCTTACACTAACTTATTATTTAACCTAGTCTGTTGTTAGTGCAGCATAGGTCGATTTCCGGGTCTTTACCCTTTCCTCGTGCTGTGTATTCAGCAATACAGGTAAAACTGTGTTTCTTGTTTTGAATATTTGTAAAATATTTATTCACCATAATGAGATTTGAAAGGATAGCATAAACTTGATTTGCTTTTTAAAATGAAAAAAGGAAACTCCTTGACCACTAGATGAATCTAAACCTCAAAGGAACAAGTGTGGACATTACCCTTTCCTGGCCTTGCATCCTTCGGTTGAGGCTGAGTGTTTGGTGAAATAACTTCCTGCCGGTAGTTAGAGTGAATATTCCTAGTGAAGAGGAAACAGAACTGAAAACAAATTTGACAGATTCACATGTGGTTCTGTTCCATTTCCTTGGGCACATCAGGGCCGTTCCTATCAACGTTAGAATTTTATGACTGGTAATATTTGAGGGTGATCAGGATCTATGTATGCCTTGAACTCTACTAGTGAACTTTTAACAAACAACTTGTTTTATCTCTGTCACTATGGGTGTTCTGCAAATCCTCCCTCTGGGAACTTCTCCTTGTGCCCAGAGTATGTTCTTAAGAAATTCTGACTGAAATAAAGCAATTTCCCATAAAGTATAAGAAAAATAATATTGTTGGATTAAGAAAATTATATATAAATTGACTATATTTCTAAAACTAGCATAAAAATCAATCAACAGGAATTAATTTTGCCTGTCCCATTTGGCTAAAAATAAAAAAAAGGTTTTCTCATCAAGATAGAAAAGTACTCACCTGAGGTTTAGCTTTAATGCAATGATTGATCTGCAGAGGCAGGAGCTTGTATTGTTATCTAGAGTGATTTCAAACTTTCAATCTTTTTGCTTCAGTCTCTAGCATTGGAATTATTGGTGTGCTTCAGTAACTATGTATGCATGTGCAAGGTAGAGGTGTGTGTGTGTGTGTGTGTGTGTGTGTGTGTGTGTGTGACTGTGTGTGTGTGAGAGAGAGAGAGAGAACAAGAGCGCATGTGAGTATGTGTGTGTGTGCATGTTTGTGTTTAATAACTTTGAAAGCAGTTTCTTGTATAAACTTGAAGAGAAAACTAATTTTCAGAGCATAGTGGTCTGTTAAAAAGCTAGATTCAAATTAAGAATTATAAATTTGTGATGAGATTCAGTTCAGAAGAGCCAAAATCCTGGTAAGCCTGGCACAGTGGTACACACCTTTCAGAGGCAGGATGATCTCTGTGAGACCCTGTCTTAGGGATGGGGGACAACAGGGAGGCCCCTGGTAGAAGGCTATGGCCATGGAAGGTCTGCAGTGGACCTGGGACCACAGACAGAGGCTCAGAACGTGGTGGGGGCTCAGTGGAGTCAGGATCCAACTGAGGGTTACAGTGCCTACGTCATCAGAGTAGACCGAGTAGAAGGAAGGAAAGGGATATGGAATTCCTTCAGGTATCACTTGGAGGTGCTTTTCCTTTGTGTTTCCAAGTAGACTTTAGTTCTTTTGCCTGTTTTAGTTTATCACAACAGAGGCGAAACAACAAGTGGAAATTTAAACCAAGATACTGGTTGAAATAGACTGCCTGCCTGATGGGCTGCGATGGCCCTTTGCAGAGAACCTGAGTTTCAGAGACACAACCACTTGTAGTTCTCCAATGGGTCCACGTCCTTTCCTGGCGTCCTGAGCACCTGTGTGTGCACGTTCCCACACGGATGGACACATACGCACACTTACCACCAACATAGCCACTGCAAAGACTCAGTGGTTAAGAGTGCTTAGTGGTCTGTGGTTCAGTTCCCAGCACACACCTCACACGGCTTGCAGCAGACTGTAACTTGTAGCTCCAGTTCCAGATGATCCCGTGCCCTCTGGCCTCCTTGGGCACTCACACATACCTGCTGTACATAAATTCACCGTAGGCTCACATGTTTACACACAAACAATATGTAAATAAACCTTTTAAAAAATTGCTGGTATAATTACCATTGTCCAGTTCTGGTATCTCTCTAAGGGGATTAAATACTGTGCCCCCTTCATAGTTTAAAGAAGGTAGCCAAAGTCAGTCTGACTGTGGTTGCATTTGTATCCTAGAACTTGCTAAATTTTTGACTTTCAATATGAAAATTTTCACTTAAATATTAGTATTATAGTTGATCATGTGACTGTTAACAGTCACTTTGTTAGCTGATATTTGTTCTTACTGAAGAGAAACTTGGCACAGTTGTCTTCCTCTGCAGATATGGCACATATATGTTATAGCTGTGACCCCTTCCCTTAGTCAGCTCGATGAAGCAGATTGTTCTTAATAAATGTCTGCATACATCGGTGGTCTATAAAATAGTGGTGGTTTATATCTGGTGAGCACTCACCGTGTCAGAAGATTCATTTTTCTGTCGCTGACCTTGGACGATCGCTTCTCAATGTGGCATCGTTCTTAGCTGCGTGGATTGCACACTGAGACTCAACAATAGTTGAGTATTTTCCCAAGCAGTATACAAGAAGCAGATGGTTGAACCAGAATCAAATCTAGTTCAGCTTGCTCTCCCTATGCGGTGTATTTATGCAGACAGACATTAGCTCTATTATCCGAATCCTCAGGAGTGGCCATTAGCACACAGCTCTGATGTCTTCCCTAGAACATCTTTGTCGCTGTCCAGAAGGGGCAGCTTCCTTCTTTAAGGTGGAGTCTCACATGTCACAGCATCTGTTATTGTCTCTACACACTAAGTAGGTGGTGAGAGGTCCGAGTGACAAAGGAAACCATGAACAAAGCTTTGCTGACACCTACCTAGAAAATATGTGGCAAACACTCATTTTTAAATTCCTGTTTATGTGCACCTGAGCCAAAGTGTGGTTTAATATGACCAAAAGGTATTCTTAATGCCCTAAAAATGCTTAATATAATTTTAATTGGTATGTTCGCTTTGTTATTAAAGTAGATTTTTAAAACTAATAATCAGATGACAATGTACCTCTTTGTTCTTTTACATGTTTTTTTCATTTTCTGAAAGCTCAATTTTCTTGTATTCGTTTTCTAAAAAATTACTAGTAAGAGGCTGGAGAAATGGCTTAATTGTTGAGAGCACTCACTGCTCTGTAGTGAGCAGGGATTCCCAGCACCTACCTGGACAGCTCATCCCCTTCTGTGCCAGCTCCAGGGGTCATGACACCCTCTCCTGGCTTCAAGGGCATTTGTACTTTATGCACATGAACAAATACAAGGATGTGTGAAGAAATAAATTTTTTAAATGTATATTTTAAATGGATGTTAAAGCCATTTGAATTTGATGAATATTTTCAATATAAAAAAAACATTTTAAAGACTGGTAGCTGGGCATGATGACATGTGCCTGTAATCACAACAATATGAGGATCTCTAGGCTACAGAGTGAGTTTAGGACCATTCAGAACTACAGAAAGATCCTGCCACAAAAGACTGATTTGGACAGTAATCTTTAGAACCAAAATATTTAACACACCTTTAATCCCAGCACTTAGATATGGAGACAAGAGGATTATGAGTTCAAAGTCATCAGCACACAGGTAGTTTGAGGCCAGTCTGAGATAATGAGGCTGTGCCTCAGAAAGCAGAAAAACAACACATAAACCAGCTCCCAAAATACTTGAGTAGACTGTATTGCTTGATCTCTGCATCTACCTTTACACAGGTCCCAGGGAATCAAAGCAGGTGATCTGGCTTGTGTGGCAAGTTCCTTCACCACCGAGCCTTCTTACTGGTCGCCATACCTTTAGCTGCATGCCTGTTCTCCGCTGCTTGTTTCTGAGTGTCTTCATTTCCTTTTAGATACAGCAGGGCTCCAAGAATGTTGCCGAACTGACGTCCTTGCCCGCAAACTGTATGGACGACATCAGTGTAGCTCTAGAGACAAAAATAAGGACTTTCTAATAAAAAGTTTTCCTGTTTGTTCTGATGGCTGGTAATGGTTGAATTTAAATTAATATGTAAGTTACAAGTTGTCATTTGTCTTTAACCATTGGAAAAGATTAGTTTTCCCAGAGCAGCAGCTTCTAACTACAAGGAAGTATACCCTTAAAATGTTCTGTGTGGTTTATAAATCTTAGAACTTCTATTTATGTTTTTAAAACTAAGTTTAATTATCATGTCTAATTTTATTTAGAACATCACTACATAAAATGCTTGTTTTTGCATTCTTACTTATTTGAACCTGGGAATTAAACCCAGGTGTTGTGTATAGCAGTAAACATCCTGCCACTGTACTGCATGCTAAAATACTCAGGTTAGTTAGCGCTCCATCACTAGTGAAATGCTGAAGAGTAATGAATTTATAATTTATTATTCTAACTCATCAGATATGTAGGTACCAGTCAGTGATTGGTCGGTTCTGTTCTTGGGGACCTTTTTGAGGCAGCACGTCATGGCAACAGTGTGTGGTGGGACAGAACCCCTCATCTTGTGGTCAGGAATGCCAGGGTATCACATTTAGGATGCCATTAGGGACACTGCCACAATGGCCTTCTTAGTTGCTTGAAT